ATAGAGACTGAGATGGGTTAACTAAACAGCGCTCCCAATATCAGTGCGGAGACCCTGGGGAAAGTTGCTCCGCCAGTATCAGGCAATAGTTTGCCAATTATAGAGCATAGGTAGAACTGTAATTAAAATTAAATCTTTATTAGTCCCTAGTGGGGAACAAATTAAACAAAATAAAGTGAAGAGTGTATATCCAGTGATAGTGAGGATAAAATAGGACCACCTATTACTTTGCAAGCTTTACACAAGACCCACAGTACAAGAGCCACCTAGATGTTTGTTTAAATCCAGATAAATAAGTGATGTGTAATGTTGCTAAAAACTAGTCTGCAACAGAGTATCAATGGGGATCTGGAAATGTTCTAAAGGTGAAAGTGTAAATACACGGAAGTTAAATACAGCTGCTGGTTTCATGGACTCAAGTATGTCCCTTTAGAAATAGGTGAAGTATACCTGCACATACAAGTGCCGTTTAGTAAGGGTATATAAGGGTCCCCAGAGAGTATGCTGAATACCCTTCCTATAGTTTTAGGGGTTCCAAACCCATAAATAGGAGAAGGGTATAAATGGGTATTTGGGGAGAGTGGACAGCAGTACAACCCCCACTAATAGTACAGTCGGGAGACTGACCGAAACAAATACCTACAACCCCAATTGTAATATCCCATATAAACCCAGTTACTATAGATAAATCGAACAGGTATGATGCAAAAGATAGGATTAAAAGTAATGAGTTATGAGAACCCAGCGCTGATATAAACAGTTAAGGTAGTTAGTCTGGCCCTGGATTGGTGCCCTGTTAAAGTATTAGACGCATACCCACCTACATTCAACAGCCCTAATTCTCCTTTACTGTTGCTTCATGGCCATCCACTTACTACTTCCAAGTTCGTGTTCTATATCAGGACATTACTACGGAGGTTGGGTCACAACCCATCCTCCTTTTCTGGGCACTCTTTTAGGATTGGTGCAGCATCTGCGCCTCCAGTGTGGACACACCAATTCATCTTATCGAAAGACTAGGGAGATGGAAATTCTCGGTCTATAATAGATATATCCCACAGCCTGAGAAAGAGTTCAGAAAAGCATTTAAAAGTTTAGCTTTATGAGATATGCAATAAAGTGTGTTTTTTCTCCGACATCTTTCTTGGTTTCGGTACACCACAGTCCACTCTCACCACTTTCTACTATTAGCACCACCTGCTACCATTTTAAATTACTATCATGTTTCTGACAACAAATATATATATATTAAAAAAACTTACAGTGGACCTACCATGTAACACACTTATGGAGAATGTTAGAGACCCCAACAAAAAGGTTATAAGATCCCATTGCCTCTTTATGTCACTGCTGGCGGGTTCTGGATGTTCTGGGGGACGTTTTGGTGATGTCTCTTTAGATACAGGAACTTGTTCAAAGAGTGTTTGTTGGAGGCTGGAGGTTTACGGGGGATGCATGACTACAGAAAACTTTTGGAAGTGAATTTTCTGAAAGATTGATTTATTGCCCACTAAAAAAAATGTGAAAGATTAACCAATAGTGTCAGTAGACATAGAAACATAGAAACAGAGAATGTGACGGCAGATAAGAACCATTCGGCCCATCTAGTCTGCCCAAGTTTCTAAATACTTTCATTAGTCCCTGGCCTTATCTTATAGTTAGGATAGCCTTATGCCTATCCCAAGCATGCTTAAACTCCTTTACTGTGTTAACCTCTACCACTTCAGCTGGAAGGCTATTCTTACAGAAATACCTGTAGGCAGCTACAGCAAGGTGCTCTTTTTTTAATAACACTGCAAAGGTTTTGTCTCCATTTAAACGCTTAGAGGGCGATGCATCACCTAGCTTTGCTATTGAATGACACAATTCCCTAATTTTCAGGCATAAAAAGCAGATAAATCTTCATTCTCGATGCGTACCTTAGGGAGAACACTGATCTTGTTGTGAATGCACAATAGAAATATTTTACAATGTAATCAGTGACTTCACGAGATCTCGGGATTTGTACCAGCTGTGAATGTGCATTATATGGTTCATGGCAGGCACTTCACCTAGACTTTGCCCACTGGCATCTGGGCCCCCAGTCCAAGCTCAGCCCTACACATTGAGCTGCAAAATTAGCAGGAAATTATGGCGGGCATGGTCTCTCCAACACCTTCTGTCCCCTTCATCATAATGCTCTCCATGATATTGCCCCCCGTCATAATGCTCTCCATGATATTGCCCCCCCGTCATAATGCTTTCCATGATATTGCCCTCTATCATAACGTTCTCCATCATATTGCCCTCCATCATAATGCTCTCCATGATATTACCCTCCATCATAATGCTCTCCATGATATTACCCTCCATCATAATGCTCTCCATGATATTGCCCTCCATCATAACGCTCTCCATGATATTGCCCTCCATCATAATGCTCTCCATGATATTGCCCTCCATCATAACACTCTCCATGATATTGCCCTCCGTCATAATGCTCTCCATGATATTGCCCTCCATCATAATGCTCTCCATGATATTGCCCTTCATCATAATGCTCTCCATGATATTGCCCTCCATCATAACGCTCTCCATGATATTGCCCTCCATCATAACGCTCTTCATGGTATTGCCCTCCATCATAACGCTCTCCATGATATTGCCCTCCATCATAACACTCTCCGTGATATTGCCCTTCGTCATAATGCTCTCCATGATACTGCCCTACATCATAATGCTCTCCATGATATTGCCTTCCATGATATTGCCCCCCATCATAATGCTCTCCATGACATTTCCCTCTATCATAATGCTCTCCATGATATTGCCCTCCATCATAATGCTCTCCATGATATTGCCCTACATCATAATGCTCTCCATGATATTGCCCTCCATCATAATGCTCTCCATGATATTGTCCTCCATCATAATGCTCTCCATGATATTGCCCTTCGTCATAATGCTCTCCATGATATTGCCCTCCATCATAATGCTCTCCATGATATTGCCCTCCATCATAATGCTCTCCATGATATTGCCCTTTGTCATGATGCTCGCCATGATATTGCCCTACATCATAATTCTCTCCACGATATTGCTCTACATCATAATGCTCTCCATGATACTGCCCTACATCATAATGCTCTCCATGATATTGCCTTCCATGATATTGCCCCCCATCATAATGCTCTCCATGACATTTCCCTCTATCATAACACTCTCCATGATATTGCCCTACATCATAATGCTCTCCATGATATTGCCTTCCATGATATTGTTCCCCATCATAAAGCTCTCCATGATATTGCCCCCCATCATAAAGCTCTCCATGATATTGCCCTCCATGATATTGGCCACCATTATAATGCTCTCCATGGTATTGTCCTACATCATAATGCTCTCCATGATATTGCCTTCCATCATAATTCTCTCCATGATTGGCCCCTCTATCGTTGTGCACTCCATTTCATGACATACCATCATATGCAATGCCATGAGACTTACACCATGTGCCTTGCCTCACCACTCCAGTACACTCTGTTAATTACTTCTCCCCCATAATAGCACTCCTCATGCAATGACTATCTATTGAAGAGTTGATTTAAAATATATTACTATTCATACAATTCTGTACCCCTCATTAGTCAGTGGTTCTCACACAGTGATCTTTAGCACCTTTCATAGTGGCCCTGATTACGCAGTTATCCACAAGAGAATCAAAAGCATTATCCAGGAAGAATCAGGAAGGGTCTTTGCCAGGAACAT